GAGCAAAAATACGAAGACACACAAGTTAAGGGTCCGTTTTGAAACTGATTAGAGCATAGGGCACAGAGCATTATGTAGAGAGGGCCAAGACTAGAATGATAATTTGCAATTGGATATTTTAACACCCATGATAAGAACTTGGGTTTTATTCTAGAGGCAATGAGGAAGCTGTGCAGTTCTTGAGGAGGGAAATGAACTATCTTGATTTATATGGTTGGTTGATAAAGGATGGGAAATAGCTGTCAAATCCAAGTTTGTGTGCCTGACACACGATGAGGCCAAACAGACAAAAATGTCAGAGTTTGGAGCATATAAAGTGTTTTTTTTTGCAAGGGCCACGCAAGGTGCAGGTTGTGCTTAAAAGACTTAAGTTCCCCAATGGGTTTCAGAGAAGCATTTCTAAAGGCCAGATGAGAGAGGGGAGTTGCAAGGTGTGTGATCAGCTCATGAACAATTCTCTGATTGGTTGATGATGAGGTAACAGGGAGGTGTCACAGGGGTTAACAATTTCAATCCAAGCTCCAGTAGATCTGGAGGTGGTGTGCTCACAGTCTTCAAGTAGTTAACTTCTTCCGTTTGGTGGGGGGTTTTGCATCTGTAAAACAACTCAGGAAATGTGAATGGGATGCTATTATCTAGGTACTTCAAGGAGGAAATAAAGATTCTGTGACTGCCACTGGCTGATTTACTGTTTAAATTCTTACCAGTTCTTCTAGTCCAACTGCTATTTTTATCATTACATGTTCACATCCTTTCAATCATTTAATTCTTGAGACAGGATTTTGTGACTCAGGGCAGGCCTGGGAGACTATAGGTTTCTACAAACAATAGACAGGCAGAGGGCATAGGGAGTCTGTCCTGGGAAAGCCCCACAGGGTCCTGCTCAGTTACAATACGATGGGCAAGAGAGGCAATTGTGGAGAGTTTGTGAGACTAATTAGGAAGCTATTGAAGTAGCCTAAGCTGAAACAAAAATAAACAAACAAGCAAACAGAAAACCCCCAAGAGTACAGTCCAGAGCAGAAGTGTTACAGAGAACAGAATCATCAGGGCTTGTTGAGTACCCTGTACGCAATGGATGAAGAAGAGAAAGCTGTTGAAGATCACTGGCAGATTTGCACAAGTGATTAGGATATAAAGGTGTTATTAAACAAGGCAGAGAATTCAGCAGAGACGCAGTTTACAGGAAGGGGATGATGACGAGGTCAACTTTACAACAAAAGAGTTTTAGAAACAGAAAACTTGTTTTGGAGGACGAGAGAGAGATTAGAATTTGTGATATGGAAGGGAGCATTTAAAAAGCTCATTGAGTGATTTTTTAAGATATTTCCATTTTATCTATAGGAAACTTGAGGGAGAAACAGGAACATTCACTTTCCCTATGAGTGTATAATATCTACATTAAAAAAAAAGTTAATCTCCACCAACATTTGATGAGGAAAGGCGGAGCCTGCAGCCATAATATGCCTTCAGTCCAAGGAGGAGAAAAGAAATAATTCATATTTACCAATATTCTGAAAGTTCCTATGGAAATTTCATGGAGTTAGAGATTGTCAGCCCCCGAGGAGCCTTAATGAACATGCAGCAGCATGCAGGGTAGGAGAATGAGAGTCCTGTGGGTCCAGGTAATGCTGGTTTTACTCTGTATTCAGACTGGAATCAGGCCCAGGTATAGGATGCCACAGGCATTTCCATAGTTCAGCAGTCATGCCCTTAAATTTTTGCTGACTCTTATCATTCCTTCAGTATTTAGTTGAGGACTGACTTTGCCAAACACACTGTTTCATGCTCTGTCTTGAAAGCCTTTTTGAAATCTTGGTGTTTTTCTTTCTACAACCTCTCAAGAAATTTATAAGTAGAAACAGTGTGCATCCCATTTAAGAAATGTTTTTCCCCTCCAAAATTAAAAGGAGGGTATTCTTGCAGCTCTCATCATGAAGATTATCTTGTATACCACACGTATGGCATTATCATCACGTTATTTTTAGAAACACTGGGAGTATTATTTTGGTCAGTATGCTATAATGCTATAAGTATAATTATTATAATTGTTTAAAATCTTTTCTGATAGAGTTTAAATGGACCTACATGATTTTGTAGCAGAAGTTATAGTTCTTGCAAGTTGTTTGCAGTCTGACTTGTAGATTTTAGTTTTTGAAGTTTAGGAATAGGAAATTTTTTCCATTAGTTTATAGGAGTCCCATAGATTACAGCTTTCCTGGAAGTTAGCTTCTGAAATTGGGGTCAGCCAAGAGAATATCCAAAAAATTCGCATCGTGTGACAAGTACCTTGTAAATACCATCTTTTTGACTTTTCTGAATAGCTTTTTGGCTTCTGAATAGCCACTAGCTTCAGGAAAGATAGTACCTACCCCAGAGAGAGCATATGGGGAGAGGAAGCCAAGATGCTCACTTCAAAGCTATTTTGAGGGTGGGGGTGAGTTTCATAAACGGGCACATTCAACTTCAGCAACCGGGGAAAGATGTAAAAATTTTTTTTCAGTTACTACTATGTGTAATTTATTATGTGTATCAATGTGTTTTTGTAATCCTGTAATATAATTGTCACTTCTTCAACATGGGAGATTAATTTCCTAAAACCTGGAAAATTTAATTTTCTCAAGACTACACATCTAGAAACTTCCAAAGTCATGGTTTAATTTCTGGGCTGTGATGGTAGAGTTCATGAACTCTCCATTGTTTGTAACATTCCTTCCCTCACCTGCTTGCATGCACTGGACATGGGACTGAGAGAAATGGGTTAAGGAAGGTAATATGATGGATGCCTTGGCCAAGAGAACCCTATTGGAAGGATCAAGGTAGTTTCACCAATGTCTCTAAAGAGACCCCATCCCAACCCCCCTTTCTAAGGTGCTGAGACACCGTACATCTGTACGTCCACAGCAATAACCCACAGAAGTGCAACAACACTGCCCAGAGCTGGAACAGGACTCATCAGGGTGCTACGTGCTGACTGAAGGCTGGAAACGGGTTTGGGGAGGGAGAGAACGTCCTCTGAATCTCAAAGGATTGGAAACACAGATATAACTTAGACAAGACAGACTGTGGCCAGAACAGTTCTGAGTAGTCTGAATTCAATTTTGTAATTCTGAATTCCAGTCTACAAAACTTGTAACTAAGAAGGCTTTCCCTTGCTTGTAAACCCATCCATTTCTCACAGGCTTTGGGGGCACCCTTGTGTTTTCTTTGTTTGCCAGTGGTTTCTAAGCAAACTTAACTGGTCAGAGGTAAAGTAGCTTGTGGGTCTGTCAAAGGGTAAAAAACAGTCTTGTCAAACCTCAGTTGGTGTAATGAGACATCACAAACGCACGACCTCACAGTCCTTCTAGGGGCAGGTGAGTATGGCAGACTTGAAACTGGCTGCTTTGTCCAGGGTGATGACTGCATTGGGGAAACGGAAAAACCAGAGACAGCTCTACCCGTGGCCTCTGCCTCCTCAAGCCCTGTCCTTATGTACTGTAGTCATTCATTGTCTCAACAAGTACTCAGGGAGCACTACCTGTGCCTGAGCAGCTGTGCTGGATGGTGAGCAGATAGCAATGAACAGCTCAGAAAATGCCCCTCATGGTGCTTGTGTGTTTGTGGCTGGGTGGGCAGGGGACAGACCATTAAAAGACACAGCCAGATGTAATGTAAGTTTAGTCTGTGATAAGAAAAATAAAGATAAGTAAGAAAGAGTCAACGAGCGATGGAAGAGAAGGAGCTGTGGGGAAAAATGCGGGTCTAGGTTAAGCGAGGTAGTTAGGGCAGATTTCCTTGAGGAGGTGGCCGCTGCTGTTTGGACAGATACTCTGGAGGGGAAAGGATGAAAAAGCAGAAAGGGAAGAGTGAGAATCCTTCTGGACCAGAGGAGGGTGACATTGTGTGAGAGAGGGAGAGAGAGCAGTGGCAGCAATTTACAAGAGAAACAGAGAAGAGCTTGGGTTCTCAGATACGTTCAGATGTGTTTTGATCTGTGTTTTTATTCTTACTTATAACAAATAAACCCAGATCAATTTAGTAGCACGTTTCCTTCATCTGAATATATCCTTTCCCCCACCCTTCCTTCACTTCCTCCCAGAAGGATGTATTGGCGGAGAAGTTAATTTAACTAGAAAAGCTGAAACTGACAATGTGGAACCTTGATTCTCTTGCAAATGCAACCCTGATTATTACAAAATCTGCCTATGACAAGTCTAATATGTCTCTCTTTACTGGTAAATTGTCATTCATCCTGAAAGGTGTGAGGACTTAATCCTTTGCATATAAGGAGCTCAGAGCCTGAGCACTGCAATTATAAACCCATTTCTTTTCCTTGAAAGGCTCCAAAAAGTGCTTAAAATGTGCCCACATACCTTCCCTCGGCGACACTGTAGACTGACGCCTGCTGACTGAGGACTCACCCACTCGTTAGGTGCACTTTCTCTCTGGTCCTCTGGATGTTGCTGAGTGTTTTGGCTGGAGCTTCACTTGCTTAGTACCTCAGTAAAGCAAAACAAAGTAGTTTCCCTGGTACCATTTCCACAAGCACTTCAGATACTTCAGGAGGTGGCACAAAATAATGGCAAGAGTGGGGATGCTGGAGTCAGACCAACGTAAACAGCTCCATCACTTACTAGCTGTGGAGCTTGAGCAAGTCAGTTGACTTCCCTGAGCCTCAGCTGCCTCTTGTATGAAATAGAGTTGATAAGACCTACCTTGTCTGGTTACTTAAGGGAAGATGTGGACTGTGGTACCTGGATGTCAGCGAAGTCATTCAGTTGGTATTAACTCATCCTTTAAAATTCATCATTAAATACTGCAGTGGTGAAAATGTGTCATCATACACTTGTCAAAACCTGTAGAATGTACAAGAGCAAGACTGAACCCTAAGGTAAACTATGGACCTTGGGTGATAACGATGTGCATTGTAGGTTCATCAGTTGTAACAAATAAACCAGTGTGGTGCAGGGTGTCCGTAGTGAGGGAGGTTGTGTGTGCAGGAGACAGAGGTGCATGGGGACCTGTGCTCTCTGCTTAATTTCGCTGTGAGCCAAAGACTGCTTTTAAAAAACAAAGCTTATTAATTTAAAAAACAACACAAATAAATGTTAATGGATCACCCATCCATCATATGTTGGCTAGCCCAGCATCCCTCCAGATATCTTGCAGGTTTTGGAGAATTTTCTTGTCTTGCCTGGGCTCTTCTGGCTTTAACCTCTGGTTCTGCTGCATTGCCAACCTCAGCTCTGCCTTCTCTGCCTGCCCTGTTTCTTGTTAAATGGCCCTGACCAGTACACATGCTGTGTGAGCAGGAGAATGTATTAAAGGTTTGGGAGTAATGAGTGGGAGAGGGGGAAAAAAAAGCACAGCCAATCAAAAGCATTAGCTCTTCCAGACTCTCTAAGTCTCTAGGTTATCCCTGCCATGGGACAGTTTGCTGGTCCCTTCACGTAAAGCTTTATCTTCTTGTCATGATTTACTAACTCTGACTCTTTTCTCCCTCTCCTACCCCCCCCCATCTACCTCGAGACACTAAAAAAATCTTACTTTCCTATGCAGATCAGTTTTCTTTCCTTGGTTTTGTGAAAGAATATATGTATATTTAATGTTAAAAATCACAATTTTAGTAAGTTAAACAACATAACAAATGGTTTATTTGTCTCACGATTTAATGGAAGACAAGTAACACGGAAGGCATGTTACAGCTGGTTCAAAGGAAAATTCAAAGAATCACACGTATATAATGGTGACATTGGTCAACATTCACGGCGCAGTAAGAAACTGTCTTCTGCACAGAATTTACATGTCTATAGGCAAGGATTATTTGCATTACTGTCAATATTCTGCAAATTACAGAGTTAAAAAAAATAAACCCTCAAAGACAGTAAAATGAGGAGATAACCTGGAAGAGTATGCCAGACAGGTCTCCTCTCCCTGATTTTTTTTTTTTTTCCTGTTTCAAAGTCATTCACAGTTTTCCTTGACAGCTCACTCCTAGCTTATCTGGAGTGTGCACAAGTGGACCGTTTTCACACTATCTAAATTGTTCATCATTACACAGTGGAGCTAAACAAAGATATGTTCTTTCTTCCCAGAGGAATGGTGCTACCATCTTTGTTTCCCTTTTTCTACTATGTAAATAAAATACTACCTGATCCATTATACACGGTCAATAAACACGACTTCCCCTTTGCCCTTCCTGACGTGTTCTCAGTTCAGTGTGTCTGCGATGCACTTTGCAGTCTTCCCCTGACTGAGAGTATTCTTCCCTCTCTGAGCAGCCACGTATCTGTGCTGTTGCTGCCTCATCACAAAGTTAAGAGTATTAAGTGTCATAGGAGATATACGTGTCTTAGGAAGCTTGATTTGATTATAAAGATTGAAATCTCATTTTAGCACCAGAAGATGACCTTAAAAAAATAGGCATGAGTTGACGGCATAGAATCTGGAAAGAAGCAGACAAGATAGGACTATAAGTCCTTTGAAATCTTTCTAATTATAGTTTCATTGAGAAGATAAAAAAATGCTTCTATTCAGGTAGTGAGGTCAATGCAGGGAGAAGTTATTTAAGTGCCTTTCATAAAATAGAAAAAGAATCTTGTTGTTTCTCAATCCATTGATCAGTGTTGTAATCAGTCTTGTAGAACTGTGTTTCTCATCGTGGGTTTCATGGTCAGACTGCATTAGAATCGTCCATGGGCTTATTAAAAATAGATTTTTAAACTAGCTTTTTTTTAGGGGGGTATCACCTACTCCATCAGAATATCTGGGGGGCAAATCTCTGGAATCTGAGTTTTTATTAATGACCTTAGATAATTCTTATGCCCATTATAGACACTAGGGTTATAGAAGTATTTTTGTATTTAAGGGGAACGATGAGGAGCTCCAACGAATACAGCGAGTGAAGTCCAGTAAAAAGAGCAACGTTACAACTTTCAGAAGACCTAGAATCTGACCAGTGCTTGGTCAAGAATTGGCAGGTCGCCTGGGTAAGTCTCTGAACCTCACTGGTCCTGGGTTTTTCAGAAAAAGAGTTGAACTAAATGGTCTCTAATTCTCTTCCAGTCCTAAACTTTGTTTTTTTTCTTATCCTAAGTAAGCGTGAGGATAAACTTGTTCTTCTGATAACAGTATGTTCAGAGAATGCTATTTTACAGCAGGGGCATGGGGAGGGGCTCATAAACATTAACTCAAAACTGCCTGGTAACCGATCGCTACAGAGAAAATCACCATGAAGGTTTCATTGATAGCATTTCATGAACCATTAGCCATCCTGGTTCTGTTCACGTGAACGTGACGGGTGTGTGTGTGCTCGCGCGCACGCACTCGCGCGCGTGCTTGTCTTCATTTGCTAGGTCTACATAGCACCCGTTTCTCTTGAAGGAATGGAAGCAGAAACCTACTTCTGCACTTCCTCCTCTGGTGGCAGGGCGGGCAGGGCACCAGAAGGCTAAGAAAGAATTAAACAAGAGTACAGGCACTCAGCATTACGGGCAAAAAAAAGCCCCACTGTTCTTTAGGAAATGGAATGAATGGCAGTGTTCATCCTCCCTTCTACTTGAGCTCAATTAATTCAGTTAGACTAATTTTTCTTCCTTTATTAACTGTCCTCTGGGCTTAATGGGACCAAATGTGAGATGGAAAGAGGAAGTACTCAGTCATCTCTAGGACTAATTTTAGCATCAGGGACTGTTGTGTGGGGCTTGGAGCCAGGTGCGTTTCAGTCCTAATGAGATGGCACCTCCTTGATGCTTTTGACCTTGTCCAGTGTAGGTGGGCATTTGTAGAAACCATTTAGATGGCTCCCAGTGCCGTTGACAGAGCTGTCTGCACCACTCATCCTTATCCATTTTAGCAGCACAGGAGCAGGCCAAGTACCATTTTCTGTAAATAGGAAGTAACATACATTTATCCAGTCATGGAATAGAGACAAACGCAGGTTGACACCTCCTGCTAGCTCGCTCGCCCAGTGTGAAATCAGCATTAATAAATCCCAAGTGGTCCTTACTTTGCTTAGAGTCACACACTGGGTTGACAAGTTTCTTTAATAGCATCACCAAATCTGTGGCCAATACAGGACAACAGATACTGTAAAGTAAAGCTTATCGAAAGAAGTTGTGTGTCCAGGGTGGTTTCTTCCAGGGATGTGTCCGATCACCTCCCCAGAGGGACCTTCTGGCTTGTCCTTCATCCCAAATCAGAAGGATCAGAAACACGGATGGTGCACTTCCCATCTGTAAATCGGTGCTTACGAACCTTTGTGAGCCACCCTCAGGACTATTTCTAAAGCGTTTCCCAAGAGGAAAGGTGATGGTGACCTCTGAACTTCGCTAACGCTAGACCAATCCTCCTCCTGAGTGTTCTTGAGAAGCGTATGAACTAAGATGGCTGCAGTTTCGTACAGTCTGATGTTAGTTTTGTATTTATTTTATTTTCTCACTAATGTATCCCTCTCACACCTTTTCAGTGGCAACTATCGTTTTCATAATTCAAAAACAGTAAAACAGACAAATGGAACCTTTCCCACCGCCATTCTCTTTCTCTCACTGAGCAATTGCCTCCAAAGACAAAAGTAGATAATTGGCACAACCCACTTCAACAGAAAAGCTCTTCAAGGGCACACAGACTTTGTGATAAGTTCTCTTGAGATGAACACAAGACAGGTTGAATAATTTGATGGTTTCATGGCTTGGGCTTAGTATTAAGTCACTGATACAATAGTGATGTTAAAGACTTGCTAGCTTTGCTCAAAACATTTTGTTAATGTCTACATTACCTGAGGAGGAAAAAAAAAGGATCTTCCCTTTCTTTTTGTTAGAAATAGAAAATCTTAGAAGGGGAATACACATGTCTAGTGACAGAGTAAGAACCGGGATCCAGAAATGCCGTACGCTATTCTTGGTTCATCGGAACATTCTAGCTTCAACAGTTCTCAAGATATCAAGAAGCCACTGCCTGTAAAATACTCATACTGCTGGAACTAGTGTGCGTACTGCCTGTACTTGAGGGGAACAGCAATCATACTCTTTTTCTTTTGGAAGCTCTAAATTCTCCTCTCCAATTCTAAGTCTCTGAACCACCATCCTTCCATTCACTTCTCTTACCTTTTAAAATTAAAAAAAATTTATTATTAATTTACTGAAGTATAGTTGACCTACAACACGACGTTTGGTCCAAGTGCATCGTGTAGTGATTCCATGTTCCTACACATTACAGAACGATCGCCACTTCTTTTACCTTTTTATTGCTATTTCTTCCTTCGCTCCTCACAGCCTCTTCCCACCCATACACACCCAGCCGTATTGCCAAAGCCTAAGATGTACATGGTGCGTGAAGAAATGCGTAGGAGAGCGTTGATAAAGGAAATCATTTAATTCTAGCACCGGTGATTACATACTGCTGTCTAAAAGGCACTGAGTTCAGAATCTGAAGGACAAAGTTATATTTCCTCAGTTCTGTTGACTAGCTATGTGACCACTGACATTTTAAATATCCTGAGTTCAGTATGCTAATCTGAAAGAGGCATAGAAGCACTGGCCCTGTGTAATACATAGAATGGTTGTAAATATCAAATGTCAATCTCGTTGAAAATGCAGTGCATAGTCTATGATCAAGACTAAGATTTAGCAGATTGGGAAATCTACAAGAACCAAAACCAGGTTTTATGTTTATGCAATAAGGTACACATGTGCCTGCCTTTTACTTATTTTTAATTAAATCATTTTCTGTCATTTCACAGTTTTGAAAAACTTGAGTATTGATAGAACAGAAATGACTAATTTTGAGTCAGTCCAGCTAACGTAAAGACAACATTGTGGTGCTGAATGGATGTGAACCTTGAATGAGTCTATAAAACCTATTGCTGAAACATTGAAAAAAAGAAAATCCAGCTACAGCCAGAACAGGAACGTGTCTCAGGTGTGAGCGTGCCAGAAAAGGGCATAGAATAGCCTGTCAGGAAGCCTAAGATGTGACAAAAATGCAGGATTTTGTTCCTAAAAATAACTCCTTAGCATGAACACAACAAGCA